GCCATGCATGTGTACACACACACACACGCACACAGCCACACACACCCACACACACACACACACACACACACACACACACACACACACACACACACACACACACACACACATCAATAATCATATAATAGGTTACCTAACAGGTTAGCTTTTATTAGAAGGAATTATGAATACAGTGAGTCTCTACACAACAAACGCAGTAATATCAGCTGGCTTACTAAACTAGTGTAATGTTAGCTAGCTTAGTAAGCTAGTGTAATGTTAGCTAGCTTAGTAAGCTAGCTAACAGAGTACTAACATTACTACTAACATTATTTAGCAGTTAGCTAACTAGTGTCTACTTTGTTGACCAACATGATACTCTATCACAGAAAAGTCATGGAGTTGATAAATGAAGATAATACTTACATGATATGCTGCTGTGTCAAACTGACCTCCTGGTGGTGAGACTGCAGGCATCAGATGTGTAAGTGGGACAGAAAATGTATCCTGACAGTCACAGTTGGTAAGAATCAAAGGTTCCCAAAGCAAACCCTTGAGATTCTGTAGGAAATGCTTGGGGTCATTTTTGACCAAAAACTGCAATTTCTTAAAATGTATAAAAACATTTAAAAAAATTCAAATGGCCTCAAGTCACAAACATGTTTTATGAGGAATACCTGGAATATGGAAGTGTAAAAACTTTTAATTTCAGAGATTTTGAAGAATAACAACCCTCGGGGTCATTTTTGACCCCACTTATGCAGGGACATGAGTTTTTTAATTTTTTTACGATATACAGCAAGTGAACCACAGAGTTTGATTCGCCATTATCAAAAGAAGAACTTCCACCGGACAGATTGATGACTACGAAAAGCTAAGCGGCGGATGAATACGTTTTTGTGAAGCGATATGACAGTGATTTCGGCTGATGAACCACTGACGGACAGGCAAAGTCAGGTGAGTGGTTGCATATTTAATGGTTTCAGGCAAAACGAAAAGTAGCTAAATGGAGTTAAATCCACACCTAACTGGTGTTTGAATGTTTATAAAAGAGATTTTATTTCAGGGCAGTGTTATGAAAATGTTTGTTAACCAAGCTAACTTTACAGGATTATAATTATCTAAACTTTTATTAAATAAATAAGTTTCAAGTATTCTTACTCTTATGTATGACGCTTATGAATTTTTAAAAGGTTTAAATGGTAACTGCCTATATTTGTAGCTTAATTTAGAGAGGTTTTGTTTGTTCGTTCCAGTAATTAGCCGTGTCCCGGCTCTGTTCGGCTAAATATTTAAGCTAAATTAACGTGTTTTGGTGAGGTTGTGTGTGTTCCTGCCAGTAATTAGCCGTGTCCCGGCTCTCTGTTCGGCTAAGAATTGTAGCTTGTTAGCCCCCGCCATGGCTTTGAAATGGATGTCATTTGTGGATAAGTATAGGGGACTTGAAGATTGTTTTTTGTTAAGGCCGAGCAAGTGTTAAAGTGATTCTATCCTTGCAACGTTTTTCTGGTTCAGCTCACGCTAAACCTGCCCAGATACAGAGGGGGTGCCTCGCGCCATTGAACGAGTAAAATGCTAACTGTGTTCAGAAATAGCATTTATATTGTGTACAAATGCTATGTTCCACTCTTGAAATGGAGACAAATTTGTATTTCTGCTTTTTAGAAAATATTTTATAGAAAAGAAAGGAATATATTTAGTTTATTTTATTGAACTATGGTGCCCATAAACTACATGTCCCACAATGCATTTCGTTCTGTGACTTGCGCACTGAAGTGTCTTAATATCAGCCGTTTCTAGCAGCGGGAACAGTCGGTGCTCAAGGCACTTAAAAATGTTGATCTTTGATTGATGAGATTATTGTTATTTAATCTAATAAATTAATGGGATGTATGTAATTATAACACAGGGAAAGGTTACTGTTCACCCACAATAATAAATAAGATGTGCAATGGTTGTAATTGTTAGATATTTATATTATAATAAAATAAATAATATTTATACATGAACAATAATTTTTCCTAAACTTCTGCTTTCAGAGGTAGTCAAGTTATTACTAAAAAAACAATAATAATCCACTGAATAGTCTATGGAAAATAACTGCAAGCAAATAATCAACAATTACAACCATTGTACAATTTCTTTTAAGTTTGGTTAAAACATAATAGTTTTTTCATTGATATATTTGGCATGCACGTAGACACAAAAATGCTCTATGTGGATGCACACTAACCTTTCCCTGTTATTATTACATGCATCCCATGAATTTATTAGATTGAATATGCCTCATCAATCAAAGATGAACATTTCAAGTTGTTTATTTATTTAAATGAAGTACTGTTTAAGTCTTTATCATATGAATTCAGGGATAATATTGTAATTGTGAAAGCCAAGGCTTGTAGTTTATGGGCAACGTGACTGTTGTAATTGTGTGCATCTTATTCTTTGTCATGTTCTCAGTTCTTATTACTTTATTAAGGCCTGCTTCATAATGTACCTAAATGTGTGTTCTCTATTACAGACAGATTTTCAAAGATTTCCGTTTTGCTGCAACTGGATGAAGTGGACTTGTAAGTTGTGCAGGTTTTCCAGTTACAATGAGAAGGCAACATGCACAGTTGCAGACTGTTGGTAGAATATTTTCTATATGTCTGTGTCTCCTCAGATTCAGGCAGAGTTCCAGAGAATTGTCACTACGGACCTGCTTTCATCGTTTCTGGATGGACTTGATGGCCTGGCATTGCTGGAGGTCTACAAAGGTGCATCCAGGACTGGAAAGAAGCCGGCACTAAAAGGCCTTTTGGACTGCCTTGAGAAAGATGTAAGTGGAGATGCTGATGACCATAATTTAGCCACCATTTGTTCACTACAAATGTTTATATCCCACTGCATTTGTTGTCCTGCAGGACACAAATGAGAGGAGGAGGACTGCTGCTCTCTTGGGACTATCACACTACATGTCTGGCGAAAATCAGGAAAATGTCATCAGGATGTGTGATGTAAGATCATAACTGTCTTGAATTACTTTATGTAATTGTACATTTTAACATAAATCAACCCAAATCACCCTGTGCCCAAAGTTTCCTTCAAAAGTAATGTTTACAATTACCTTAATTTAACTAAAATAATTGCAATAAAGAATGATACATTTAATATAAACAAAAACAGCAAGAAAACGTAACTATTAAATAATATAAATAAATATAAAGCTCAAACTGTGAAAAGAGAGGCAGTTGAAATGATGTTCCATCACATTGCACTTTTACACTGTGAACTGTAGATTTTAGCTTCTATGTTTATAGCAGAAGCCTCTTAATTAGCTTTGTAGAGAAAAAGTACTTGTAGTACACTGAGCTCACTTTTATTTCTCCTTTTTTAAGGCTCATGGAGACACTCTCGAGGAAGCCATGAAGGTGATGCAAGTTGGTCTACTCATAGGCTACGAAGGTGAATGGGATGCCTTTCCTAAGCAGATCTTCAATGTGGCAGTTGTGGTCGAGGAGACAATTGTGCTCCACAACCTGAAAGATGTGGCTTTGCGATGCTTCTTGGACTAATATATTGCTACAATCTTCAGTATACTCTGGAAATGAAATATTCATTTGAGTTTATCCAGAGGGTTGTTATGAAGATACAGCCAGACCAAGCCTCTGCCAAAATACATGGACTAAAAAACAAACTAGGTAAGAGGTAGATCATCAAAGAGTGTAGAAAGTGAGTTTGGTGTTGTTCATTTGTATGTTCAAGTATTTTGTGCCTCTACAGTGACATGTTTTTAAAAAAAGGACAAATATTGAAAGAAATGAGCTTTAGATTTACTACATATCAGAACCATTGTTATCTACTGTACTCCATATAGTGTACAGAGCGTGTGCTGGTGCATGCATGCATTTATGTATGTACTGTAAGTATGTCTTTGTGATTGCGGGGTTTGTTCTTCGCTGGCCGCCCAACACATTTGCAGTCCCTTTCTTCTTGGCAGCGCTTCACCTCAAATGCTATTAACTCCATCTGAGCACAGCAATTCATCATTCGTAAGATTTCCACAGGGTGTTTTCTCTTTATTTTTTAATCAAGCTTGGATCCCATGCTGAGAGGCTTATTCGACTGTGAAACAAGGCCCTGTTGTTGCTGGCTAACAACACGCATCCGTAACAGAGTGAGCTGCTCACTGACAAATTAGCTCTGCTCAAACACCTACTGGATAGGTCATTGAGAAATGAGCACAGGGAAAGAAATGAGAAGGAGAAACAATGCTTGACAACACATGGTCCAAAAACCATCATTTACAATTCATCGGTAGCCTAGCTCCAGGTAGCATGGTTTGAAAATTATTCATTTTTGTGTTAGAGTTTTGTAATTAATGCTCCACTGAAATTTTTTTTTAAACGTATCACATTAACAATACTATAACACAGAGAAGAAAAATAAACATTTCTTACACTTGGAGCTCAAACCACCACACAAGCAACAAGGCTCTAGGGATGGTAACTTCAGCCTAGCGTCTGAAAAATATCTCAACAAATACTGGATCGATTGCCATTACATTTGGTACAGTTCATACACAATGTGCCCTGATTACTCTGGAGATCCCCTGACTTTTCCTCTAGCACTACCTATTATATCAAGGTCAAAATTCTTTTTATTTTTCAATAATTCCAGTATATTCACATTTTCACATCTGCTACATTAATTTCATGAACATAGAAAGAAAACCAAAATCAAAATGGAGTCAATCAGTACATTCCAACTCAGCTTCATTATTATTTAAAGGCGGGGTAGGTAATTCACTTCAGAAACACTTTTTGTTATATTCCATGGAATGCTCTTAACATCCCGATAGCAATGAAAATATATTAAATGCTTTGACAATAAATACATAAAAAGAGTTATCTGTGGAAGCCGTAGCACTGTAAAAAGCACGACCAATCATTTTAGCCGGCCCGGCTAAAATAACTGGATGGCCTACCTGCCTGTCAGCCTTCTATCTGTGCACAAACTTATCTCATGCCCTCATTAGTCATGTGCGCATTCGTGTGTGTTGGAGGAGGGGCTCTGTAAGGAAGTCTTTCCGGTCTTTCCGATTTTTTCCGGTTGTGTCATAGACTAAAGGGTTGTGTACTTTCAAATTCTAGCGCACTCGAGCTGGTTTCTCCATTCTTACCTACCCTATCTTTAATATAGAGTCTTAAACATCTGGCATATGAAAAGCTTGTTTTATATCCATGACTGTATACATGAAATGTTAGCAGTGTCCTAAATAACCTTCCAATAAATTCATTGTCACTGGTTTAATCCTCCCATCAGAAAGCAAGCAATCCCTTTTAAAAATGACCTATCTTTATAAAATGTTAGGGTAAAAGATTGTTATGGTGCTGATAATATCCTGCATTCCTCCGGTGAAAGAGTCGATGTATAGCTTTCGATCGAGCATTTTGATATAGCCTACTATAAATCCTTAAATATTTTGGCTTCTAAAAAATTTGACCAGCTGTAATAAATCATGAGAAAATCCAAGATAGCTACAGGAGCTGTGTGTGTTTGGGTCTGAGGAATGAAGTCCAGGCCTCCAATGAGCATTAGTTCTTTCTTCTGTGGCAGGTTTGTCATGCAAGACAGAAGATCCTAACGGCTTGTGAGACAGCTTGACTGATTCACTGAATGAGTATATCTCAATGTGTCACTAAGTTTTGTGGCCACTGCACAGAGCAATCAGCGGTGGAATTGGAATTTATGACACTTGAGAGAAAAAGACAGGAAGGACTCCACCGTAACTCACTGAATAACTGACTGCAAAAAAATACATTGTCAGATTTTTCATGCTTTTCAGTGGCTCAAATCACCACAGGATCTTAAAATAAACATTAAAGGCGCTAGAATTTGAAAATACACAGCCGGAAAAAATCTGCCACTTCCTTACAGATCCCCTCCTCCAACACACACGAACGCGTACATGACCAATG